ACCCCGAATGGCGAACAACACCTGTCTTGATAAGTCGCATATTTGACAAGCGCCCTCGTGCAACAGATAACCTTGATGAATCAGCTCTTGAAGCACATCGAGACTCAGCGCACTCTTGACGATGTATCCCAAAGTGGGACAAGGGTAAGTGACCGCGTTTTGTTCCACCAACGTCTCAATAAGCAGCCACGAACTTAGCGTTCTGACAGTGTGCACTCTCGCTTGGGCCCTTGAGTTAACATCTCGCCTTAGCCTACAAATAACCATTCACTCCCGACTAGGTCCATGGGTGAATGTGTATTCATGGTTAGGTGCACACTTTGATGACCATCCCAGGCAAAATTTCAAGCAAAACGTTGGTTCGCAGCTTGGCCCACAAGGAGCATCCTCTGAAATTGTTACCAAGTGGAATAACCTACAATTTAAAATCTATATATGTGCTTGCCTGATGAGTCAGCAACACTCATAAACTAAGATTAGATATGTTAGTTTACTCACAGCGAAAGTAGTCAATTCAAGACTTAGTTTACTAAAGTGTTCCTAGTTAACTAAGATCCAATTCATTGCACATTTTAGCTCTGACAATCTGAGTTACATGGACTTATCTATTTGCTAATAATGATGAATATATATCACAATCAAAGAGTAAGATAAGTAAACTTGAAAAGCGATAAATTGCACGGGAGGTTTTTGGCCGGAAAAACCCACCTCTTGGTTAAAAAACCGAGAACTCTCCACTAAGTCCAATCCACTAATGTAAACAAGGTTTATACAAAGACCACACAAGCTCATTTCCTAGATCCCTATCTACGGAGCAGCATTATCTTTGTGCAACCTTGCTTTACAAGAGATGAACTCTTTTGGTCTTCACTAAGTGGCAGCTTCTCCTGAGTTCTTCACCTTGTGGCACTAATATCGACTCAAATCCTGAAATGATATGATATGCATATAAAATCTGGATTTAAATAACTAGTCAGATTATCCAGTTAAACAGTTGAAGGAAGAATCTAACTTGAATCCAAAAGCTTGGTCTAAAAATGGATTTAAAGCTTAAAACCAGACCAAGAACATAATGCAAAACCTTAAAACAATGCAACCCTAATATACAATGATTGGGTGTTTTATGCATGAAGTTGGTTTTGCAGCTAGGGTTCCATAAATGAAGAAGAGGCAAGCTCAAAGCTTTGAAGGTACTCTCTCTCTAAAATAAATTAGGAGCCCCCAAATTGAAAACTGAAACCTTAGAGACAAATATACCAAAGGAAATCTGATTTTTCATCAACCAACTTGTCCCAAGGACAATTGTCGACTCCAAACGAAATCTAGGCAAATTAATAGCTAGAAACTGACTACCATCAGAAATGTGTCAATCAGCCTATATGGGCTGTCTTAATCTATGTGCCTAGATAGCTGGAAGTCAGCACGGAAAACTGACTAGACAATTAACCTAGATAGAATGCAACACAGATAGAGATATGAGATGGACATGCATGAACAAACCTTAGACGTGAGGTGAGCCATGTCCTTGAACGTTTAATCCCAGTAGCATCATCCCATATTCAGATAATGTAGTCTATAACTAAATTGAGCATATGGTACACAAATACAATGTTTGAGAATGAAAGCCAAACACTTAAAACTAGACTTTATGTCATCCACCTCACATCGAAGTAGGCAACACACCAGATGGAGAGAAAAAGTAACCTAATCGGGCTCAAGTTCAACTAGTAGCCTGCACCAAGCCCAACCACGAGCAGCCCGCTTGCCAGGCAAAAATGAATCATGTGCACTGTAGCCTTGGCACAGACGAACAGAACATGAAGAAAAGCAGCGCAGACCCGCAGGTCACCACCAAGGGCAACTGAAAGCTCTGCTGCCCCAGCAAAGGCAAATTCAGGAAGAAGTAGAGAAATTACCTGCTGCCCAAGTTTAACATGCTGTATTTCACCATTTTAAGAGTGACGAAGACTTAGAGAGGCACTTAAAGCACTACCACAACACGATAATCATTTATAGGAACAATAACTCCTTCATGTGCAAGACTTTCGCCACTACTCTACAAGGTGAGGCTCAAGATTGGTTTCACACCCTGCCACCACATAAAGAAAAAAAGAAAAAAATGAAACGTTTCTTGACTACGTAAAGAGGTTGAAGGTTGAGAAGTCCGAGATTGTTGGTTGCAAAACTCAATAGCCAATACAACCTTCCAGAAGAGACTCACACCAGAACACTTGTTACTTGAAGAATTGATCACAGGAAAAGACTTGACTCTAGCAAACTCGTTTGCTTTGGTAGAGAAGCATGCACTTTGGGAGAAAGAACGGCGAGCCAACAAAGCACCCGAGCAGCCTCAAAATGAGCCAGAAGTAGCCCAAAAAAAGGTAGACTTCAAGCAGTCTAATGACAAAAACAAGTCATAAGCCAAGCGCAAGGACCACTCCTTGACAAGTGGAGGCCCGATGCCTAAGAACTACACATAGTTCTCAATCCCAATCCACTAGATCCTCTGTGACCCGAAGAATGAACCATGGTTCTTGTTGCCATGACCAATGAAGAGAGATACCTCCAAGTTGGATCACACTAAATATTGTGTATTCTACCAAGCTCCCGGTCACACGACCGAAACTTGCTTTACGTGGAAAAACTACCTTGAGAAGCTTATGAAAATTGGCAAGTGTGACAGATACTTGAACAAGCTAGCAGTGTAGCCTAGGAAGAACATAGATCCAAACGTAAAGTAGCCTGCCAAGACAACTAAATCCATGGCATCTTTCCCAAATTCGAATACTTGGGGGCCACCAACAAATCCAAAAAGGGAAATATCCAGCAGGCGAGATCAATCTCCTAGGTTAAGGTAATAAGCGTCGAGCTAGGACCAATCATCAGCTCCATTGAGCAGGACGCCAAAGGTGGATTTCCCTTTGACAACGCCCTGGAGATATTTGTCCAACTGGCCTACGTCATAAGCGTTCAGTAGTTCATAAGATAGGCTTGAAAAGTATGATCATAAGTTGAATAGAGGTTCTTACTAAATTTAACGGCTACACTTCGATTGTAGTCGGTAACATCATGCTTGACTTGAGAACCCTTTCAATCGTTTATTCGTGGACATTCAAGATCATTGACGATCATTTCCCTAAATTGGGATTCTAGGTTAGGCCTGGCTAATGAAGTTGGGTAGGGTAACCTCTGTCGAGTATCAGAAAATCTGATTTTGCATCTCGAGAAAAAAAGGATGAGAAATCAAGTCAGACCAAGTTGCATCCTAACGATGCACTATACAAGTCCTGGATGAGTCAAAGAAGAAGTCTTTTACCCTAGTAGAAGCCATTAAGGTGCACAAGGACGTCCCAACTACCAAATAACAATTACAACCAACAGATCAAGAAGATGGCATCCAAGTCGATGTATCAATAAATGAGACAAGACAGATTCCCTAGAAAGATGCCGAGTACATCATTTGTGATCCCTAGCAATCTGAGAAGACCGCTAGGATTGGCTAACGTCTAAGCCCGACAAAAAATAAGGAACTCACGACTTTCCTTAGGGAAAGCCGTGATGTTTTCACATGGTCACATTCTAACATGGCCGACATCGACTCCAAGATCCCAAGATAGCTTGCCACAAGCTCCACGTCGACCCTACTACCAAACAATGATCTAGAAAAGATGACATTTTGCTCCTGAACATGTGGCGATTATTGAGGTGGAGATTGACAAGCTATTGAAGGTTGGATTCATCGAAGAAGTAGCGCACTCAGCATGGTTGGCAAACATCGTGCTAGTGAGGGAGAAAGAGAAGGGCAAATGGCAAGTTTGCATAGACTATACTGACCTCACCAAAGCATTCCCTAATGATCCCTATCCAGTTACCAGAATCGTCCTACCGGTGGACTTAGCTATAGGGAACAAGTTGCGCAATTTCTTGGATGCATACCTAGGCTACAATAAAATTGCCATGTATGAGCCTAACAAGGAGAAGACCGTATTCATGATCTAGAGGGACACCTATTGCTATAGGGTCATGCCATTTTGGGTCTTAAGAATGCATGAGCAACTTACCAGCGATTAGTAAACATGATCAATGGCGGAGCCAAGATTTCACGTGAGGAGGGGCCTCTCATAAATGTTAATGGATGTGTGGATTACCTATCCAGAAATCCATTTTTACCTCTCATACACATCTCTCAATTTCTGGCAGTTTAAGAAGAGTGTGTGAGATGTAAAAAAGATGTGTGAATAACACGACTCCAAATGTTAAAAATATTAATTCTAAACGGATAGTATCTACAAAAGTACAAACAAAAACAAAATATAATATGATACGAGTCCAAAATAACAAATTCATCGATAGTATTACCAATTCACAACAATTACAATTGTACTCGAAGAATTTTCATATTTTAAAACTGTATAATGATAGGCTCGTCATCTATACTATTTAAAATATCTTTATCAATATAAGCAACCAAACAATTATTCGTCCACAAATCACACATTTGATTGTATAAGTTTTGATTATATAGGTTGGTCTTCATAATATAGCAAAAATACTCGCTCATGCTACAGACTCAAAACAAATTTGATAATCAATTAAAAAACTTGCAATAGATCAATTTGACAAAAACAAATTCATAATTTAAACAAATTATTTGCAAGATAGATGACAGGGTAAAATACAATTACTAGGATAAAAACTGGGACGCGAAACGGATTTGTTGGGACCTAGGCGATGGAATTTGAAAGACTGCAATATATAACAAGTATGCTAAAAGTAAAGTGAGGATGGGCCCGTCCCCACCGTGGTCCCTTCTTCCCTCTGCCACTAAACATGACGTTTAAGAAGCAGATTGGAGTAACTATGGAGGTCTACATCGACGACATCATGGGTAAATGCATATGAAATTCTCAAATTAAAAAGTGGATCTTTTTGCTTACGGGTTCAAAACTTCAAATCCCCTTCATCCGATATGTGCTTCTGAAGATGTGATAGCTCAAAGCCATGCTAAGTATCGGGCTGTAAGCATGGGCCTGCCACGTACTTCAGCCCGACATTAAAATCAATTCAAACACACGAGCTCAGATTCACTGAGGCACACATGAAGGAAGAAGGAACCATTTTTCCGAGAAAGTGAGAGAATCAAGTGAAAAAAGAAAATGAAAAAGAAAAATGGGGATAGCAGCAGCAATAGGAGTGCTTTCACCCTTCCCATTCTACCATTGGTTGTGGAGTTACCCACAAATATGGGTAGAGCTGTGTGGGAAAGGGCGTGACCCGTGCAAAGTGATGGCCTATGTGGCTCCTTTCCTGAAGCTGATTCAGTTCCTCTCTCTTTTCTCAGTCTCTACCTTCTCTTGGCCTCCCCCTCTTTACTTCTGTCCCCTCATTGCCTTTGGCCAGTTCCTCAACTTCAGGTTAGTCCATTTTATTGGTGTTTTTATTTCTTGTTTCAAGACATGGGTAGTTTTCACTTTTCTATTTTATTTGGATGTGTTTTCATGTTATGGAATTTGGGTTCATTGATTAGGTAGTTGGGGAAGCTTCTTCTTTTTGTCTTTTAATGGCAGGAATTAACTGTTTGATTAGTCAATTGATTACATGTTCTGAATCTGTATGACACAGTAGGATTGAGAAATTCTTTCTCATCATGCTTAATTAGTTCATGTTCATGTTGGTCATAGTTATGTGTCATGCTGCGCAGCTTGGTGCTATGGTTATTGGGTTGCTCTTGAACTGAATATCCTTTATGGGTTTTTGTGATACGTATATTTCTCATGATCGGATATGGAGATCAGGGTGCATTTTAATCCAAACCAAATGTGGTTCAGCTGTTGATTGTGATGCTCGAATTGATATAGTGTGTGGGATCTTTCATCATTTCTATGAATATCCTTTTCAAATGCTACTTAAATGTTATGTGGGGACATTGGAAGCCCATCTTTTGTATTCTGTATCTATGGACAGCTCTTTCTAGTTCATGGGAAGGGAAGCGCTTATATGTAGAAATCCTGACAGAGAAAAAAGATTGCATTGAACGTATGAAATCATATAATTCATAGGAGTGAAATTATTTTGCTTCATGGTGTAATGGGAAAGGAAAGAGTGGGATTGGGACAAAAATAATATCTGCATTTCAATTGTAATGATTTTTCTTAGTAGTAACATGTTGGAAAAATTAATATGCTAGAACTGGTGTTTAGTTCATCGTCGTTGACCTGATGTCCAGTTCCTATTGATGTTCCCTTGATAATTTCTGCTTGATTGAACCACAAATAATTTGTGTTAAGATCCTCGTTAGTTAGAACTTTAAGTTAAGTTTTATGTTCCCTACCCCAATGGAAAAAAGAAAAGAAAAGGTATGTTTTCTAAGGTAGTGCAACAAAGAGGGAAATAAGGAGAAGAGGGCACTGATTTGCTTCTAGTCAAAATTATTCTTGATTATGAAGATTTAATAAACTATTTCAGTATTTTGTTCTAAAATTTCTGTTGATAACAACATGCTTTTGCACTTCAACCAAATAATTGGCGCAAACTGGTGCTGTATGCATTATTGTGCGGTCATCACGCTGAAGATTATCGGCAGCAGTTGAAATATATGAAGTCTGAAGTGGGAAGAATAAAGAGAGTAAACTAGGGCCTTGTAAGATAGTCCCGACGGTGGACTCATTACTATTTCCATTGAATTTCAAGTACAATGAAAATTGCTTGATGTAATTGTAGCCTATATTTCCGTTGTATGTGACCAGAACCAAAAGCGCTGAATATTTAAAAGATTAATTAATACATATAAGAACTTGGTGATCAGAGTACTACCTTAACATTCAATGTAACTGTGATTTATGTCAGACCAAGAGTTCTGCAGTTGGGGTTTTCTCTTTAAAAAATCGATTGTTTGAGTTGTATAACTAATAATTTTCCTGTCAATTTGTAGGGTCTATCAGTTGCTCGGTGAATCTGGTACGTATTATGGAGTACGTTTTGGGAAGAACATTCCCTGGGTGACAAAATTTTCATTTGGGTACATAAAAGATCCTCAGTATGTGGGGAGCATTTTGAGTGTTTCTGCATGCGTGTCGTATGTACCATTTCAATACATTTTGTTGTGGATGTTGGGATATGTTGCAATGATATATGTGGAGTCAAAGGAAGATCCTTCAACTCGTTCAAAACCACTCTCATAATTCAGCATTTGAATTAGACCAGAGAGTCGGAATCAGTCAAGATTGGAACATCAAATATTCTTCAATTGAGATTACAGTAGATTTTGTTGATATGTAAATTGGTGAACTGATGTGAAGAAGATTACAAGTTTTAATTAGCGCAATGCTTAGCTCATAGGCTAAGCTAGAGATAGGCAACGGATATGGTGGGTGGGTAACTGCGTTCTTGAACCCGTTTATCCTTTTTTTACCCATTTACCCCTTTTTCACCCGTCTACATTTTTTTTTTAACAACTTGAAAATTACAAAAGAAAAATTTGTCATAATTTTCGTTTTCTGACAATTAAACACCATTATAGGTACATTTTAGCATGCATTTTCCTATTTTAATCATTTAAGTCCTCATACAATTCCAATAATTGAAATAATAATTTATGAACGATATTTTTCTGCTACACCCAAAGAAAAGCCAAGTACCAAATCAATTGAGTTAGTATGACCATTCATCAATATGTATAAACAGAAGGTTTACATTCCATGATTTTTCACACACCCGTATGCATAAATTGAATTAGTATCACCAATAACTCCAAAGTAAAAAAACAAAAATAAAGTAATCTAGACAATGCTGGGATTTCTGAAGGGTGCTGTAAAATGAAGATTTCGGGACAGTGTACGATTTTCCGTCTCATTAATTAGTTGTTCATGTAAAGCACATCTAATTTTGGTGTTCTTTCAGCAGCATAGAAAATGCTTCATTGGAGAATGCGTTTTCTTCGACCATAGAAATTAGGATAACGTTTCTTTTTTCTAACAAGTGATTTTTCAGTCCAACGTCACGTAATGTTGTCATTTGGTAATTTTTTGGTACGACAATCATTTGCACTTATGTTCTAATATGTGTCCTAAATCCCGAAGATAACCTCCAAAGCCACATGAGAAATTAACACGATTTGAGTGGAAAGTATAATATAAATTTTGCTTGTCAAATAGAATCCATTCCCTTCACCAACGAGATTTAACAGTATCCCTACTAAAAGCCATCAAACTAATTTCAAATTTAGTGTTTTTAATTTTTAATTTTACATATATTAAATTAAATGGGTAAATGGATACCGGTTATAACTGTAGGTAATACCCATAACCAATAGATACCCATCATAACCACGGGTAATATCCATAACCGTCCATTTAAATTTCACGGATAAATGGTTATACCTATAACCGTTTGTTTGTCTAAACGGTTACCCATAACCATAACCGTAAACTTTAAATGGGTGAGTAATTGCGGTTACCCAAACCCATGGATATTTTGCCCATCCCTAGGCTGAGCTTATGTGATTAAAATGTAATGTGTTAGTTAAGTCTCATAGGGCTTGATATGTGACAAGTGTTCTAATCTCAGTGTATTATAGAATGGATGGCTGAGATTGAACCTTAAGTTGTATATCTCTCGCTTTTTCACTCTCAACGGTATTTTGTCTTGTATGAGCTCATATGCTCAATATGCCGAAATTTTGTCTTTTATTTTTTATCAGAATTCTTCTTCCTCTTTCTTCAAGTTTTCTGAGTATTCTTCCATAATCATCATCAAAATTCTCTGTTTGAATCTAACTCACCAACATGGCCTCAGACCCAGGTTGGGTTTGAATTTTTTGGGTGTCATATACGTGGAGGATTGAGCTCGGATTCACAGCAAAAGCTCATTGCAGTGATTCGAGTTTGTATCTATGGTCTAGTCTAACATGGCTGGATCTGTAAGAGGAGAACTCAGAGCACCAGTCTTCAATGGCGAGAATTTTGATTTCTGGCAAATCAAAATAAAGACCATTTTTCGTTCACACGAACTGTGGAATCTAGTTGAAAAGGGTTATGATACTTCGATGAAGAAGGAGGAGGAGCTCACAGAGGCGAAGAAGAAGCTGATGCAAGAGAATGTAATCAAGGATGCTAGAGCACGTAGAATCATCCAAGGTGCTGTTCCAGATCAAAATTTTCCAAGGATCGCAACTCAGGAAAGTGCAAAGGCTGCGTGGGACATTTTGAAACAAGAATTTGTTGGCGATAAACAAGTAAGATTTTTGAAACTTCAAGGTCTTCGGTGGGATTTTGAGTATACTCGTATGAATGAAAATGAATCACTGTATATTGCTAAATTGTTTGATCTGATTAACCAAATGAGAAGCTATGGTGAAGATCTAAGTAATCAAAGAATAGTGCAGAAACTGTGATGCGTGATTTATACGCGCACAAATTAAATCCTCTTTTTATCAATTGTAGTATAGGTGCAAGTAGGGATCGTTCTGGACCGGGGATTAGGAGGGATTGTTAATCACTTGGATTTGACTCAAAAACATAAAAACACAATATAAAACACTAAACTAGACTCAAAGAATTCAAAAATACTTTAAAACATAAACTAAACAGATTCTAAGCATTAAAGAACAAGAAAGTAAAGGGGGGTTTAGGTTTTACGAAAATTGAAATAACGAAACAAGTTAATAAACTAGACAGAATGTAAATATGAATGTGATGGAATTGAATGGATGAATGCTAGCTAAGGGGTTCATCTCCATACATGTTATACTTGCATAATAAAACGATTTCCAATTGCATTTCAATAAATCATTAATTCTCAACACTCCAAGTTAATTAGGTCCGCTTAAATTAACCGTCAAGTTTTCCTTAAGTTAATGAATTGGATGATTGCATACGACAACCCAAAGCATTCCTCACAAGTTCCCTACATGAATTGCATAATAGAGATACAAGCAAGAATCATTAAGTTCTTTGAAAACTATAAGTGTTGACGAGGCATTCGTTACTATGATTGCATGAAACTTATGCCAAGAATTCGTTTAACGCGATTGTTTATAAGCAACCTCCACTACTTGTGAATATAAGTTCATAACGATTAGGTGAAATTCACTTATATTCTAGCGTCAAATTCATGCATGAAAATTAGGTGTGCACTCTCAATAAACATACATAAATAGGTTATCAATAAAACAGTTAAACAAATTGAATTCACAACTTATGAAACGTAATTAGAAGTAATCAAATCAAAATGCAAGCATAAACATATATTTCGAATCACCCCCTAGCTAAGGGGGGTTTAGTTCCTCATACAAAACAAAGAGAATTAAAATTAAACATTGAAATCAAAGAAACACCTAAACATTCCAACAACTCAAACTTGAATTGTATGAACGTTTAGGCCCTCTTCTCTTCCTCTTTATTGTAGCATAAGGTCTAAGGATAGTTGGTTTGGGGGAATGGAAGTGTGGAATGGAGTGAGGAGTGATGGAAATGGAAAGATGGTTTTGTGTTTGGATTATAAGGGAAGGGGGACTCACGGCAATGAGGGAATGGAAGTGTTTGTGGTGTGTTGTGTATGAAAATGAGATGTTTATGAATGAATGAATGCAAGGGTATTTATAGGAGTAGTGGAGGGAACATATGGCTATGTCATTTGTAGGTGAAGTAGGTGGATGTTGTAGGTGAAGTAGGTGGATGTTGTAGGTGAAGTGGATGTTGTAGGTGAAGTAGGTGGATGTTGTAGGTGAAGTGGATGGATGTTGTAGGTGAAGTAGGTGGATGTTGTAGGTGAAGTGGATGTTGTAGGTGAAGTAGGTGGATGTTGTAGGTGAAGTAGGTGGATGTTGTAGGTGAAGTAGGTGGATGATATGTTAAGTGATAAGTGATAAGTGATATGATATGTGGTTATGATATGATAAGTGGTTAAGTGGTGATGATAAGTGATAAGTGATTAAGTGATATGATATGTGGTGATGATAAGTGATAAGTGCATGTGGGTTAACTAATGAAGGAAATGCATGTGCAATGACAATGTGTTAGAATGGATGTGTGTTATGCATGGCATGATTGGGATTAGGAAAGGTTTAAATGTCCTAAAACTAAAGAGAACAAGGTTCCAACACTTTGGCTCCAATTAGGTCTTCAATTTCGTCCAACACTTTGGCTTCAAGCATAAGCTATCCGTCCTTAGCCCAAAAGTGCTCCAAAAGTCTCCAAAATGCATCTTTTTGCTCCTTTAGCCCTTTGGACCTACAAACACACGAAAATAGCTTAAAGTACTAAAATAACTAAAGAAACATAACGTAAATGTACGAGAACAAGCCATTTAAGTCGCATAAATATGCTCCTATCAAATACCCCCACACTTAGCTTTTGCTAGTCCTCGAGCAAAACAGAAAAACAAAACAAAAAGAACAAAACACAACCTACACCTTCCAACAATCGTATCAGGGACTTCCAATGCACATGACAAGTTAAAAATCATTATTCTCACAGATTTGAGCCATCTTTACACTTAAGTACATTCTTAATCATAGTCACCACATACTAGTTCACAATTAAGCAATTAAAACACATTTCAAATGTAGTAACATGCCTTTAGAGAATTCCCTCAATTTCTTACTAGATGTACTCTCGTTTTTCACACAGATTTTCTGACTACACACCCTACACTAGGTATATGTGAGAAGATTGATGTAAACATGTAGACGAACACTCACATATGTTATAATAAGGAAAGCATTTTCTGGAGTTAATAAGCATGTTTAGATATGATCTCATGAATGGAATGCTACTACTTAGACGCGAGAACCAGTGACACCATAAGCTCATACCAAGTTCAAACTCCACAATTGAAATACATAACACTCAATATAGAAGTCAAAGGGTAGTAACGGGGCTAGGGTATTGGCTAACAATGAAAGGTGAAGGATAAACAAACATTCTTAAAGCAATAGTGAGCAAAGTATTGAATTAGGCACTTAGAATTCCCTTAAGAACGCAGAAGTCAACTTTGAACACCCAAGGGAAAATCACACAAAACTTAGGGCCATATTCAACTTTTTGGACCCTTTCTTCAACCATCAACGCTCGTGAGTTCATTCTTACTTATTTTCACTCCTTTTTTTTTTTTTTTTTTTTTTTTTTTTTTTTTTCTTTTCTTCTTTTTCTTTTAAATCTCAAAACATACATATAAACGTAAGAACAAACTTTTACTCCCCCACACTCATTTTCTTGCATAATGTAACTCAAAAGGAATTCATTTAAGTCATGCTCACTAAACT